GAAGTGTGACAGCAGAGTGCCGCCAGGAGACGAGGACGGGGAGTGAATGGGCGACCCACGTCAGCGAGCCCTCCTGCCCTCGAGTGGAGCGCTTCATCATAGGCCAGTTGTTACCGCGCTATTGTGCGACCTTTTTTGTTGTAGTTTTGTTTTCTCTTCTCTCTGCCCTTTTAGCTACTTGATTAGTTCCATATCTGAGCCACAATCACACAGAAGAATAGTTTACAAAGAAGTTTTTTACCGTAGACACAAACTCGATGAGGTTAGCACAGCAGGACTAGAATCAATTATGTCCTCTTCATTATGGCGGTCATCAAGCGTGGAAAGCCGTTAGCCCCCTCAGCGCTGGTCTCAGAGTTACTGGTGAACAAGCGTAGCGTCGCCTCGGGGTCATCTGTAAAAACCTCCTCACTCGAAACATTCGCTGGCAGGCCACCTCTGGCGTTCACAGTCTTAGCGGATTGTTATGTCCTAAATAGTTGTGCTAGCGCAGACCCCCGACTCCTCTTCACTAGATTCACAGTATGAATGTTTTCCCTCCTGCTCCAGCAGCGCCCGCCAGTTGATTTGTATTTTTTTCCCCCCCTTTCTTTCGTTTTTTTAACCCCCCTACCGACACACTCCTGCTGAGGAACTGGAAGCAGTACAAATTGGAAGGCGTCTGTACTTTTTTGCACTGCCTAGCGTGTGCCTTATTTCAAACCTCATATGAAAGTGGTATATTTAGCAGGATGTTTGTTTTTACTACTCGTGACAATGAACAGGCTCCCAAGTTGGGGAGGAGGGTGTTTACCACCGAGGTCACAGGGACCTTGAGGCAACGACGACTAAAAATGATTATCTTACCGCCATTAGATCGATTAAACATATCTACGTTATTCACCTCTAGTTAATTTTGAACTCTTTGGTCAAGAAATAAGTGGAAACAGTGTTGTGGTCAAATACATCTCAGATGATGTTCAAATATTTAAATTTATTCATGTTTCTGTAATAAAACCTCAGACCAGTCGGTGAAGGTCAGTCTCCACCTGAGCAGGACAGCAGGTGGAAGGAGAGGTTGGTGACACCGGCCTTCAGTTTTTTCCCTCTTTCTCTTTTTGTTTTTTTAAAAATATGCAAAAAAAAAAAAAGATTAAAAAAAGGAATAAATGAAATAAAGCAAGTCAAAGGATTCATCGTGCCAAGTGTTATCTCACTCACTCAAAAGGTGCTGACATAACGGTGCCTGTTCACCGGCTTTCTGTTTCAACTCTGAAAATGTTCTATTAATCCTAAAAAACTTTGTTATGTTTTATATTTTGTAACTTTTTTCTACATAATTTTTTTTGTTTTTTTATAAAAACGCTTTGCTTGAATTGTTTTTACATGTGTTGTAAATCCAAACTGAACAAAGGCCATTCTAGGCAGTGCCCGTCACTAAAGTGTGTAAAAAGCATTACTTGTTTCTGTTTTACGTGTGTGAACCGACTTTATGGATCTGTTCTGCTCTCTTCTCTTTCAACGTCAGACAAGCGAAACTGGATTTTCACCTGTGGCCGACACAGAATATGTTTTCCCGACTGTAGTAAATCAAGATACTTACAGAAGCTTTATAAGGTGGCATTTTTCTTTTTCTTTTCTCTGTGTGTGTTTTGAAGATGCCATATTTTGAACAGGTGTAGACTGAAGAAGCCCGCCCCCCACTCCCCTACCCCTCTACCCCGTTGTCTTTCTTCATCTCTCTCAGTGCACTCTCTTGTCCGGTCCTCAAACCTCTCGGTGCAACTCTAACCCCAGCTCACCTCTGCCTTTTCTCGGATTCAAGGTGGCAAAAAAAATCTAAAGAGCGTATGCAAACTGGCAATGGCAGGTTAGCACTTGGACTACTGCAGAGGGGAATAAAAAACCAATGCTACCTCAGCTTAATTTATTTTAAAGCGAAAACTGTTGTTTACTGGGTACAAAAACAGTATTTCTTTTTTCTTCCCACTCAAAATACTGTTGCAACATCCACAGTACCACCTCAGCGCAACCACGGCTGCTGCAGTAATCCAAGAGTTGTTTATATCTCTCTGATTGTTATATACGTATGTTTGCATTTGAGCCAGATGATGATTGCATAAATTTTACGGATATTTCATGGACTGTATATTTGATGCTTTAGTTTCAGGTTGTCTTTGATTACTTTACGTACTTCGACACTGAGGAGACGTCCCAGATCTGCTCCTGTTATCACCCAATACCTTCTTAAAAGCTATAGAGAGCATTTTCTGCCTCTTTACACACCCATCGCCTTTTACTCCCAAGTGTTCCAACTGTGTTTGGGTCTTTGGTTTTTTTTATTTTCATCTCATGATTCTGGGTATTTATTATTAAATATGTTTTACACCTGATATTCAGTACATTCAGTCTTTTTGTACGTCTGAAACTGAACCGAATCGGGAAGCGTTGCGCGTCCATTTGAACGATTTTGCTGAATTGCGTAGCGTTTGTGTAGCAAGTTTATTTGGCGTGTACGGGGGAATAAAGGGTTTACAGCTCTCTCAGGTTTCAACACGTGACAACTTGCCCTTTCAGCTTTTCTATTTATTTCATTGTTCTGATGTTTTCTTTGTTGAAAGTGGTTACAGACTGTGGCATACTGGAAGAGGCTAGCATTAGAATATTTAAAACAGTTATGAGGAAAAGGACCAGATCAACTTTCTGTTAATGATGTTCACTTTGTCTCCAGTTTCTGCCAAGAGTTATTTTTTATGGATTTAAAAGAAAAACCATGGGGTATAAAATATGGGTAATCAAATGTCATACATTGTGCTCTTTTTTTCTTTTAATCATAAATTGTTGCCAGTTTGGACTAACAACCAATTTTTGTCTGGTAGTGGAGACAACTTAGTCCAGTATGCAGAAGGAAAAAGGCTTGTTCTATCCTGAATTATTTTCTTCTTCCCTCTCTTTCAGTTAATTTAGACTTTTCATAGCTTTGTCAGTTCTGTTTGTGTATCTAACACACACCTGTTCGCAATTGTTACTTTAGTGTAAGTTATATTTGAAAAATGGAACATTTACTGTATTTCTCAAATAAACTGCTGTGATATACTTGAATAAAGGTGCAAACTGTAACTTTGAAGTGCTTGTTTTGTTTTGTTTTTTTAAAGTAACTTTGACAAGTATTAGCCTAAAATACCTGCAGTACCTTTGATGGCCACTTGAGGCTGGATTTGAAAGGAGTTAACCCTCAGACTCCCATATTAAAATGGGATGGTTTTATTTATTCATTAGCTAATTCCTTACTTTAAGAAAACTCAACTCAACAAGAAGTATTCTCATCACTCTTGACACTCGCAATCTTTTTTTTTTTACAACCGCAGCTATCGCCATCTGGTGGCCTTCCGATAGAAGGCAGTTCCACATTTGTTGCTTACAAACCAGTGTGTGACGTCGCGCCGACTGTGGCTTTTATATACAATCAGTTTGGCGGAACGATGAAGCCGTACTAAAAAGCAAGCCTAGGAAACCACGGGTTTTTCAGAATAAGGTTAAAAAGTCTATTCAAAGTTGTTGCATTAAGAGCCCTGATTAACCCCTGGGGCAACCTCAAAATCCCACCCTTTCGTGAACCTCGGGACCAAAAATGGTCCCAGGTTGCCCCAGGGGTTAATAAAGTGTTGATTAAACCGGACAACACATAAAAAAACCAGACTTGACAATGTGTTCATATTCTGGTATATGTATTAGGTTTCAATAATAACAATTGTTAAGTTTTCCTTTTTGGGTACAGATTTACAGACGTACCATTTTCAATTCAGCCTATCATTTTTTTTTTTTCTAAAAACATTTATACAGAATTGCCTTCAGGTTTTAAAATATACATATTTCCTCGCTGTATTTACAGAATACCAACCCGACATAATTTGCAGGTTGCAATGAAACATTGTATAAAACAAGCGGATTTGGGAAGGAGGAACTTGAAACACAGAAGAAACATGGATAAACAGATAACATCTATGATAACAGTCGCGGGTGAATATTGTGCTTTTTTTTTTTT